CAAAGCACCATGCTCAGGGCTCCCCGCCCGCAGGGACGGGATTGGACCACGTCAGTCACGGGGGACGGAAGCCCTCCGTCGTTACAGGTTAGGTGGTTTACTCAGGCTCCGCCCAACAATCACCTGGGGGTCATTCCCATTTTGCAGATGAGCAGGTGAGGCTCACAGAGGGGGAAATGACTTGCCCAAGGCCACACCAGGAGCAAGCGGAAAAGCTGGGGTTGGAACCCAGGGTTCTACCTGATCCACGGTCATCAGCCTTTCCGGCCGTCCTTGCACCCCACCCCCCCAACTCCAAACCCTGCACCAACCACCCTGGGAGCCCCTTTCCCAGCTGCCTGTGGTCACTGTGCGGCCCTGTGCCCACTCTGGTCTCTGATGCTGGGCTGGTGGGAGGTCAGGGAATGCCCTCAGAAGCTTTCATTAATGGAGATGCCAATGGGCAGGGCGTCCTGACCCCGGCTTTAAAAATAGGGAGCCTAAAATAGTCCTTCCCAGGCCTCCTCCTCACTGGGGCCTTTGATACTGGCTGGCTGGCTGGGCTGGGCTGGGCTGCCGGGTCCTAGCGTCCTGCGGCAGCTCTGAACTGGCTCTGCGGGGAATCTGGGCAGGAAGGCAGGCCTGCCTCAGAGCGACTCTCCTTCCTAGCAGCGTCCTCCTAAAACCAAATGTTTGCTACCATCTCGAGGAGAGAGTTGGCTGGCGGTGGACTTGGGCATCGGGAAGCTTTTGCAGAGCCGCCCTGAAGGAGATGCTTGAAAGGGAACAAGTATGTGATTTCCCTGCGTTGGTCTCCTGAATTTCCACCGCCCTTTGACCTCCTGAATTTCTGTTAAATCCACCAACTTCTCACCAATCCCCGACTCCAGGCCTGCATCCTCTCTGGTTCACATGATCCCAAGAGCCTCCCCACAGGTCTCTCTGCACTCTACAGTCCCTTCCCCACACAACAGTCAGAGCGAATCTGCTCAATATACAAATCCAATCATGACACCCTCCTGCTTAAACCTCCCATGGCTCCCCATTTATCTCGGGATAAAGACCCTAATCAAT